CTCACTGCTTTCTCGTGGCACAGGTGTTGTTTACGAAAATAAGAGGACGAAAAGCGAATGTCCGGCACCGGCTTTAACCGGATCCCAAATCAATGGTGCACATGGGCTCCAGTATCCTGCCTGAGGGAACAAATGGCATATGAACCAATCGTTGGTCACCGGCTAACATGGGACTGCATCTCCTTACGATGCTCCACTGCCTTGTGGATCAGACCTTCAGGTCAAAGGCTCGGGGTGTGGCCCCCTAAGAAAACCCCTTGCTTCGGTTTGGGCACCCGGGCAGTATCACAGCCCTCACACACATATCCAATGAGATTCGTGTGGCGCATATGTATTTAGTCACTCCTCTTTGTACCAATATCTATGTGTTAAAATAAAATAAATAAAATAAATAAGATTTACAATTGAATATGTTACGGTTATGAATTCGATTTGATCAATTCATTATTAACTGACATCATTGATAATATTAAAATAATATTGAATCAAATAAGTAAAATGAATATTGCGCTAAAATTTAAAATCATTGATTTTAAATATACATTGATTGATATTTACAGTAAAATTGTAAACTTACTAGAGAAATTTTCAATACATCCAGGATCATTTGTTTTAATACGAAATTTCATTTACAATAGAATAATGTTAATAATCAACTATATAAAAAAATATATAAGATAATTAGTGTATATACATTATTACTTACACAAGATGATAAGTTATAGAACAATCAAATGTTGTCAACTTAAAAATGTATTCTGATGTATTATTTTATTTATTTTAACACATAGGTATTGGTACAAGAAGGCACCAAATACCTATGCGCCACACGAATCCCAATTGATATGTGTGAGGGCTGTGATAATGCCCGGGTGCCCAAACCGAAGCAGGTGGTTTTCTTAGGAGGCCACACCCCGAGTCTTCGACCTGAACGTCTGACCCACAAGGCAGTAGGGCATCGTGAGGAGATGCAGTCCCATGGTAGCCGGTGACCAACGATTGGTTCATACGCCATTTGTTCCTTCAGGCAGGATACTGGAGCCCATGTGCACCATTGATTTGGGATCCGGTTAAAGCCGGTGCCGGACATTCGCTTTTCGTCCTCTCATTTTCGTAAACAACACCTGTGTCACGAGAAGGCAGTGAGTAGGACTTCCCTGGCAGTGGTTGTATAAGCGTGGCCATGTGAGAGCATTTGGAGAGGGGGGAGCGGACTCTCCCCAATCTCGGCCGTATCAGGGCATTTGGGGGCCAAATTCTGATGTATAACAGATACATTCAAGTGTATTTGAAATTAAATGGTGAATTATGAAAGTAAAGATGGATAGTGGTTAGCAGTGAAATCCAAGACTGTGTGTTTCGTCCTATCTGTGACTCGTCAGATGAATGTACCTGTTCATTTTGAGACTGATCAGTCTTAAACATCAATGCGAATATTCAAGTAAGCAATACCAATTGAATTTAAATGGTGAGCGTTGTTATCTAGTTTAGATAATATATGCATACCCAATGATTGATTACCTCAATTAAACAGAAGGAAAAAACAGGATGGAATAAGAAGCTAGATTACGAAATTTATGCCTAAATAGAAAAGTGGTGGCCCACATCCACATGATATTGACTTGCTCGGTTTATTTCAACACATTACGTTAACAAATCATTAAAAGAAAATTTATCAGTGAATATTCACCCATTAAGATTACGAAACAACGATTAGAATGCAACTAAAGAATCAGTTAAAATCATATATGATGAGAATTTTTAGATTTCAATAATCTCAGGAGTCATAATGAACAAACGCCTAAAAGTAACATTTGATGTTACAGTTTCTTCTGAATAATCTATTCTAAACCATTTTGAGATGATACAAGAAAGACTACATATTATCGGCTAAGAACAATGGTTGAAACTTTTATATGTAGTATACACTGTACTGTCATTAATTACTTATTATTGGAAGCCTTGTAAGATGAGATGGTGGTTAGAGGTAGTCGAAAGGAAACCCTGGACCCGGGTTTCGTGCTAGATCGCACACGTCAGCAAGGTGTACCTGTAACCTTGAGGTGTGTGGCGCATATATATTTGGTGCTCCCTCGTACCAATAACCTTGAGGGAACTGGTGCTCCCTGAAGGATTCGACCCCGTATCACCCAGCTCCAGTCAGAGACGTTACTACTGAGCCATCCGAGCCACGACCAACCTCCTGTAGGACTGAGATGTAATCACGATTGATTGATCACCGGGTGGTGACCAATGTCATGTGTGTCTAGTCCTTATTATTAGTGCAGATCGAATGCTATCGACCATGTTGCAATGTGGCCATCAGTCTAGATGACTTGACACTGCGTGCACTATTGTGAGATTAGATGGTGGCTGGAGGTAGTCGACAGGAAACCCTGAACCAGGGTTTCGTGCTACTTGACACTCGTTAACAAGGTGTACCAGTAATCTTGAGGGAAGCCTTGTAGTTTATACATACAATGAGATAAATGAAAACCGTTCGTAGTTAGATAAAAAACACTTATTCAGAGTAGGATATATACATCATTTAATTACAACCAACCTTTCGAGGATAAAACCTAATAACCTTACTAATAATAAAGATTAGATTCTAAGTTTCTGACTTGATCTTTTGAAACCCAATCGGTAGGTCAATTGAACATTTACAAATGATAATAGAGATCAATCAGTAGTCACAAAGTAGAAACTAGAATTATCTGACTAATTATTAGTTTAATATATTTTATTCTTCAATTATGTTCAAACTATGCAATTAGACTTAATTGAACTGGTGTTGCTCAAATAGACAATTGTTTGAAGCAGTACGCCACAACAGATTGACAGTTTAAAAATGAAGAAACTAGTCATCCGGATAGTTAATATTGATCAGACTAATTTAATAGATAATAGTTTATTTGTTCAACCATAAGCCACATTGATTTTGTGAGGCCCACTTATACCATTGTTGAGATGTTCAAACAAAAAGTAAAGTGGAGTTCAAATCTGGAACCTATTAGTTGAAAGATAAGTGACTTATGCACAGAATATCTGATCTATCAAAAAAAAATAGCCACATTCAAAACATTTCTAACAATCTAGTAGGAAAATAGGAACGATTTTACACAATCTCCGAGATAGTTAATCATTCGAGGCTAGCTAGAGAACTGTTATCAAGCGGTTTCTTCCTCGTTGAAAACTCTACAGAATCGGGCACGCATCCAATGTGGAAATAATTAAATTGGAAGTCAAACGATAACCCACTGATCACGCTGGCTAAACTGAATAGATTCGACTATACACCATTACAGTCTAATGTAATGATCGAAAGGTATTGTTTTCGCTGGCAAATCTGAATTCCATGTATTTAGCCTAGAGTGAGGTTTTACGTACTCACAACCAGGAATCACAAACTAGAAAGAATCAGATTTCTTATTACATTATCGAAATTTATAAAAGGGACTAATTGCTTTAGATTTCGATAAATCAAATCAATTTGTAATAAAACTCAACTTCAAATTTTGCAGAGAATTATCAAGATATATTCAAGAAAAAGTCCTTCTTTAAGGTTTGTTTGAATCATCCAGCAAGATTTAGACCATTTAATTCACTGGACAACACATCGGCTACTCAATTTTTACTCATCTATGAAAAATGTAATAAGACATAAAGTTTAAACACTGATCACACTTAAATTTACTTGGTATTGTTTACTTGAATCGTCCCATTGATGCTTAGGACTGCAATTGATCAGTCTCTTATTGGCATATGTGCATACTGTGCGTATTACCTCGAGATCGCCTTAATTTATAAGCATTATAAGCAAAGATAGATAGTGGCCAGCAGTGGAATCCAGAACGCGTGTTTCGTCCTATTCGAGACTCGTCAGCTGAATGTACCTGCATCTCAGAGTTGATGTCTCCTCCGGGAATCGTACTCAAAAGTAGCTAGCTCGTGAATTAAAGCTATATCGAGGCAATAGGCACAAGATGCACATATGCCAATAAGAGACTGATCAATTGCAGTCCTAAATATCAATGGAACGATTCACGTAAACAATACCAAGTGAATTTAAACTTCACTCCATCGCACAAGCAAGTGACTATCAGGACTCCGTAGACAAGTGGATAATGTGATGGCGCTCGAGGCGAATGGTACTAGGTTCAAGTCCCAGATTGAACACCTCCGAGATGCAGGTACATCTAACTGACGAGTCCCAAATAGGACGAAACGCGCGTCATAGATCCCACTGCCAGCTACTATCCATCTTTGCTCATACTGATCACTTTTAGTTCATCCTAGGCAGTGAATAGAAAAAATTTCATTGAATCATAGTGAACAACAATAGGGTTATTCAAATAAACATAGCCCTCAAATGCCCTGGTGCGGTCGAGGATGGGGAGAGTCAGCCCTCTCTCTCCAAATGCTCTCACATGGCTACATACACAAAACCACTACCAGGGAAGCCCTACTCACTACCTTCTCAAGGCAGGGGTGTTGTTTACGAAATTCAGAGAGAATGTCCGGCGCTTTAACTGAGGAGTTGGAAAACCCTGATTCCAAACCAATGGTGCACATAGACCCTAGTGTGCTGAGGGAACAAATGGCGTATGAACCAATCGTTGGTTACCGGCAACCATAGGACTGCATCTACTGGTGTTGCTCCACTGCCTTGTGGATCAAGACTTTAGGTCGAAGGCTCTGAATGTGCCCCCCTCCTAAGGAAACCACCTGCTTCGGTTCGGGCACACGGGCAGTATTCCAGCCCTCGCATAAATCGAATAATTTATGTAGCGCATATTTATGTGGTGCCTTTTTACACCAATGTTTATGTGTTTGAATAAAAACAAACAAATAAATAAATAAACCTATGTCAAAAGTAAAACAAAATTAATATATCTATACAAATAAAATTTATTGAACAAAGTAAACAAATAACCAAAAGTAAGCATTTAATGATGAAGAAAAACTTTTGTACAGTTAGTTATCAGTATAGGTGTTGTGGAGATTATTAAGTTTTTGATTGAAATCATGAACTGATTGATGTTAGACTACCATTGGAAATCTAGAAGTAATGGAGTCCCGAAATAGGACGAAACGACCGTCCAGTGCTTCTAGGTTTCCTAAAGCCGTCTAACATCAATCACTTCATGATCTCAATCAAAAACTTATATACAATTAGTTAAGAAAGAAAGAAAGAAAAAAAGAAAGAAAGAAAGAAAAAACAAACAAATAAAAACTAATTAAGATGAAAATTACAATATGAGAATAGACTTAGATGAATGTACATTGAAAAGTGAAAATAAAACAATATTACTCCAGTCTACATTTCATAATCTGTTAATGCTAATAATTTGGCTTGAAATATAGAATCTATACGAAGAGAGATAAAGAAATAAATACATTGATATTATGAAAGTTTGAGTATATTAAATATGTAAAGAACATCAAAATTGATAGGGTTAAACAATAATGAGATCATGGATCGATCAATGTTAGACCATCATTGAAAACCTTAAAACATTGAACGGTTATTTCGTCCTAGTGTGGGATTTTTTAGCCGTCCATCCAGTGCTTCCAGGTTTTCCATGATGGTCTAGCTTTCATGGACTCATGAATTTAACTATTACATTACTACAAATTCCCCAAAACCCATGTTCTAATAATAATATAGATTTGTTAAATTCAGATGATTTTATATATTATTTTGAAATTGTTACCGTTATAACACTAGACATTAATTTACCTTAGACGAATATCTACACTAGAAAGCCTTCCATTGTCTATTCTACAGGATTTCAAGACAATATAAATCAAGAACACGTGATTAGAAGGTAAGTATATTTCTACATCAAAAAGTGATAACAATCACGATAGCAACGAGGGTAGGAAAATATATAACTCATCTAGTACTTGTTATATTATCTACTAGTCTGATTAATCAAGCAACAAATTATTATCTTCCTCGCCCACATATTAGTTACGTCGTCCATTTGATTGTGGGGGAATACAATATACAAATAACAGTATTCGAATGTGTAGAACACCCCGCAGTCGTAAATCAGAAGATGGAAGAAATAAGGGAAATGACTATTGGATAAGAATCAAAAATAGAATTGGTATGTGGTATGTATGTATATGAATCATCAGTAAATCCTAACAAGAATACGGTACTTGATTAAGTATATGATTGCTAAATAACACAATTGCTAGATATTCTATTACCACTAGCACCTTAATGGGTTTGTACGGTCGAAGGTGGAGATTCAGCTCTCTCTCTGTCGTCAAATGCCACGCGTATACAGCCACTACCAGAGAAGTCCTACTCACTTCCTTCTCGTGATGAGAATGTTGTTTACGAAATTGAGTGGACGAAAAGCGAATGTTCAGAGCTTCTATCGGTTGGTCAATGTACAGGATCCACCCAAGGGATTTGAAAAAATTTGATTTCTAACCAATGGTGCACATAGGTTCCAGGATTCCGATGAAACAAATGAAGTATGAACCTATTGTTGGTCACCGGCTACCATGGGACTACATCTCCTAACGTCGTTCCACTGCTTAGTGGATTAGACCTCTGGGTGTGGCCCCCTTAGGAAACTACTTGCTTCATTTTGAGCAGCCGAGAAGTATCCTACCCCCCCTCCTAATTCTGATAATTTATGTAGCGCATATATATTTTGATGCCTTTTCACCCTAAATGACTACTCTTGACAAAATCCACTCTTTATTAATTAAGAAATAAGAAACGTTATCTCTTAACTGAGGTTAGTTCATGATGAAATAAAAAGAAAAACTCAATTACCTAAAATCCACTTCGGTTTAATACATATTTTATTTAACATATTACAACCGATAAGAATTGTAGCTTCTGTTTTCCTATTGGTAAGCTAAAAATTAAGAAAAAAGATAAAAATAATGTGTATAGGTTGAAAGACAAGGTGATTTTGAATAATTTTTTTCTGTAAGACATCAACACCTTTGAATACCAGCCTGCTCAGTGGTCACTCGCGCGCGAGACAGATAGGTCCTGGGTTCGAATTTCGCGAGGCAGGATCGTGTATAGGCACTGCTTAGGAGTCCCACAGTAGGATGAAACGGCCGTCTAGTGCTTCCAGGATTTTCATGGTGGTTTAACTTTAACTGATTCATGATCTCAACTATTAAAATTACTATAATATCCATAAAACTCCTGATATTAATCAACATTTGCTCAGTAGTGACTGGCTTTAAGAGGTATATCCTGGAGTTTTAGTGAGAAGCAATGACCAGTGGAGTTTAACAGAGTCTGTTGTGAGATAGTAACTCACTGAAGACAACCTGCTTCGGTCTGGGCACCCGGGCAGTATCCCACCCCACTCACTAAAACTATGATGAACAATTCGCTTATGGAAAATATTGCTTTCTATCTGATTAACATTGAAATAACTCGTACTATTATTATTATTATTATTATTATTATTATTATTATTATTATTATTACTCTACCACGTCATTTATTCACCCTCTCTTATTCCTACTCTATATATGCGTTTCGACCTAGACGGCAGCTCACCTATGGTGAAAATTCAGCTTTATCTAAACGTTCCCGAGTCACTGCTTGGTTGAAAATTGTATGTTACTACCGAACATGAGTACTGAAGCAGTCTTTCTGAAACCGCGTGCACCATTCAAACTGGCTACCTTCAACGTTCGCACACTTATGCAGGTCGGACAACAGATAGGACTGGCTATGTCTTTGGAAAGTCTTAATATTGATGTGTGTTGTCTATCCGAGACCCGTATTCAAGACTCTGGTGAAGTACTACAAGTTCGCTCTCCATCTGTCGCTTCAAAAAGCTTGTTTTACGTGCGTTTATCCGGGGACCCTGTGGCATCTTCGTCTGGTCTTGCTGGCGTTGGTGTCGCACTAAGCGCAAGAGCTGAGGCAGCACTAGTCGACTGGATCCCCATTAACAGTCGGTTATGTGCTGTTAGATTAGAAAGTTCCATCAAAGTGAGAAGAAATCGGCGCGAGAAACGATGTCTTTTCGTCATCTCCGCCTATGCCCCGACAGATTGCAGCCCGGATGCAATCAAGGACGAGTTCTACCATCAGCTAACTGTTCTTCTCCAGAAAGTGCGTTCGACAGATATTGTAGTACTAGCTGGAGACTTGAATGCTCAGGTCGGGCGTCTAGGCACAGAAGAGAGTCGTTTAGGTGGCCGATGGGGACTCGTTGGTCGCAGGACAGATAACGGGGAACGTCTACTGCAACTATGCACAGACCACAACCTGTTTCTGGCTAGCACTAACTTTCGGCACAGTCATCGCCGATGTGCCACCTGGCGTCCTCCTTCTGCATCTCAAGCCTGGACTCAGATTGATCACATCGCGATCAGCTACCGCTGGCGCGGTTGTGTACAAGACTGCCGCTCCTTTTGGAGTACCTATCTGGAATCTGATCATGCTCTGGTCTGCGCCAATCTTACCTTACTTTTCAGTGGACAACGAAGTGACCGCCACCAAAGGATTGATGTTAGCAAGCTGGCTGCAACTTCTGTTGCTAGTAAGTACCGAACCGAGCTAGCTTCTAGGCTAGCTACCATTCCACCGAAAAGTATAGATGAGCATTGGTTGCAATTGCATGACGCCATGAAAATGGCGGGTACAGTCTGTTGTGGGTTTGCGAAACGTCCCGCTTACAAGCACTGGGTTTCTTCTGGTTCCTTACAACTCATTGAAGCCCGTCGGTCTACTCCGGGTGACCGTGAGTTTGACCTCAGACGAAGGATGTTACGTAATGAAATCGGGCAAAGCTTGCGTAAGGACCGAGAAGCCTGGTGGTCGGAGCGTGCCAGTGAGTTGGAAGCAGCAGCTGCATCTGGTAATTACCGGAAGCTCTTCCAACTCATCCGAGCCACTGGCAGCAAGAAGTTTGGTGTGAGCGAAACAATTTGCGAGGATGACGGAACGCCAATCACTAACATCCATCGACGTCTTGGACGATGGGCAGAATTCTTTGAAGGGCAGTTCAACTGGCCTGCTGCTCCGGCAACATCGGTCAGACTGTCCTGCCCTCCATGGCCGGTGACGACTGATCCACCAAATGAGGCGGAAGTCCGCAAGGAACTCCAACTCTTGAAACGTTACAAATCACCGGGCCCAGACGACTTACCTCCGGCTCTTTTTAAAGATGGTGGTGACTTTCTGACTAAGGGACTGACGACGTTGTTTACAAAGATCTGGGAACTAGAGTGTGTACCAACGTCATGGAATGAGTCGATAGTTGTCCCTATCTTTAAAAAGGGTTCACGTTGTTCCTGTAACAACTATCGGGGGATAAGTCTACTTCCGATTGCGTCCAAGCTATTGGCTTCCGTCATACTTCGTAGGTTGTTCAGAACCCGAGAAGGATTGACTCGCGAGGAGCAGGCTGGGTTTCGTTCCGGTCGAGGATGTATTGATCATATCTTCACTCTCCGCCAAGTGTTAGAACATCGCCATACTTATCAAAGGCCAACAATCGTAGTGTTTCTTGATATCAGGGCTGCCTTCGATTCGTTGGACAGAACTGTTCTCTGGGATTGTCTATTGAAGAAGGGTGTGCCTGAGAAGTTTATTAACATCCTAAAAGCCCTATACAGAAACACCTCAGGCAGAGTGAGGGCATACAACCACCTTTCTCCACTATTCCATTCAAGCAGTGGGGTTAGGCAGGGTTGACCAATCTCACCATTCCTCTTCAACTTTGCCATCGATGACATTCTGGAAACAGCTCTGACGGATGTAAGTAATGGTGGTGTGGATCTGTTGCCTGGAGAAAGACTTCTCGACCTTGAGTATGCGGATGATATTGTCTTACTGTGCGAGAATGCCCAAGCTATGCAATCCGCACTTAATCAGTTGGCAATCAGTGTCCGTAGGTATGGTATGTGCTTTGCACCTTCGAAGTGCAAAGTACTTCTACAAGACTGGCAGGATTCTAATCCTGTACTCACTCTGGATGGTGAGCAGATTGAAGTAGTCGAGAAGTTCGTGTATCTAGGTAGCTGCATAAGTGCTGGTGGTGGTGTGAGTGATGAGATCAATGCTCGTATAGTGAAAGCCAGAGCGGCTTATGCCAATCTGGGCCATCTTTGGCGCCTTCGTGATGTTAGTCTGGCTGTAAAAGGTCGGATCTACAACGCGACGGTGAGAGCAGTTTTGCTCTATGCTTGTGAAACCTGGCCTCTCCGAGTTGAGGATGTTAGACGACTCTCTGTGTTCGATCATCGTTGTCTCCGAAGGATTGCTGGCATCCAGTGGCAACACCATGTCAGTAATGCAGAGGTTCGACATCGTGTGTTCGGGCGCAGAAACGAGAATCCAATTGGTGTCACCATCTTGAAACATCAACGTCGGTGGCTTGGACATGTTCTACGAATGTCGTCCCAGAGAATTCCACGTCGTGCATTATTTGCCGACTCTGGGACTGGTTGGAAAAAGCGGAGAGGTGGTCAGTATATGACATGGTGTCGTGGTATGAAAGAAAGCTGCAAAGGACTAGCTTCTGTTGGTCCTTCACGACTCCCTGGCTGGGGTCCGAGAGACGGTGTAACGCAGTGGCTAGAGACATTATCAGATATGGCTCAGAATAGAAGCCAGTGGCGATCCTGCTGTAACCTTTTACTTTCTTCATAAAAAGTGGTTGTATCTTCCTTAACTGAAAGATTTCTGCTGATTGTACCTTTCCGTTTCCCCCACCATTGTTCTCTCTCTTCTTTTTATAATTCCCCACGTTCATTACTTTTTCTTCTCTTTTCTCCTTCTCTTCAAATTATCATTGTTTTGTGTGGCGCATATATATTTGGTGCCTCCTTGTACCAATATTTATGTGTTGAAATATATATAATATATATATATATATAAATATAATATATAACTGAAGACAATCGTGAATGTGTCGCTCAATTTCGTGGAATAGTTAAAGTTAGACATTAACACCGCTGGATACCGGCCGACTCAGTGGTCTATTAGTTAAGATTTCGCATGCGAGACTGACAGGTCATGGGTTCAAATCTAGAGAGGCGGGATCGTGGATGCGCACTGCTGGAGTTGCATACTGGGACGAAGCGGCCATCTAGTGCTTCCAAGGTTTCTATAGTGGTCTAGCTTCAATTGACTCAGGATCTCAACTATTAAAAAACCATGTCTTTACCATATTTTGTTCTGACTATATCACAGATAATGATGTAAAGAGTTTGGTATAGATGTATGTTAACCTAATAGGCTATAAGTTATATCAGCACATTAAGAGAGAGAGAAAGAGAAAAAGTGTAAATAATAAAAACTGAAATGGGAAGTATTATTACCCTCGTTTAATGAAGATAGATTTTAGTATAGTTCTATAACACTACCACCACATATTTGATTTAGAGCTATTTCTAGAATGTCACTGACTGCAGAATTGAATAGGAATGGTGAGATCAAATAACTCTGTCTCATCCCGCTACTGGATTGGAAAAATGGAGAAAAGTGGCTGTATCGGATAACTGTATCTGAGGTATTTTGTACAAATACTTTTTTAATAAATTTTTCAGACACATTCTTTAACGGGTAATTCCCAAAGCACAGTCATGTTCAATGAACTGAAGGTGACGCTAGTATCACGAAACACAACTGTTGGGTTCAAATAAGTATAGAGGTGTTTTACCATTCGGGTGAGGGTGAAGACAAGTTACGGAGGAAGATTTTATTGATTTTAAGAAACAATTGTCTATTATTCAAAGGAAGGAAAACATAAAAGCAATGATATAATGTAGTTGATTGAGGGATGTGCCAAAGACCGGATCGTTAACGTGACTACACGAATGATTTTAAATTAAAAATACGACCATTGAGTGTGATAAACAGGGCATGTTTAAATACCAACATATTAACCAAAAAATAAGTATGATAAATTGTCAGTGAAGATTGAAGGAAATCAGTTTTTACGTCGCTCATTCTCCAATTAATTAAGACTTGATTATTAAGGCCCCAATTATTAAACATCATTTACAGATGTGGCCAATACAATCACCAACTAAATGAAGACTAGCCTACTCCCCTCACATCATTATTTCATAGGTTTTCCACAACTTAGATTACGAGGAAAACCAATAATTTGGAAGCAATCGAGGATAGATATATGCCCAAATTATAGAAAAACATTACATGTATATATGGTTTATCACTATTAAGATTAATGTTTTTTAATGTTGAATTCTTTTCAGGAAAGGTTTTTAAGATTCAAAACAGTTACTCTTTCACATAGTGGCTATTGGTGAAATCTAGGACGAAGGTTTCATTGTATATAAGATTATTCAGTTAGTTGTATCTAAAACCTAGTATGCATTGTTGAAAACACTCAAGTGTTACCAACAGGCTGAGTCACAAAAGTTAGTAAGGAACTATACCTAAACCAATTCATTCAGGGTTTCTGTTGATATGGTGTATGAATCATGACAAATCAAAATTTTCAACAGATCATAACAATATTAATACATGTAATATGTTTGTATTTTGACACATTATATGTGTCTTTCTGACGAAAACTAATGGGATCAGGATTTTCCAACTCTCCTAGGTCAATGCTCTATACACACCGACCCGGTTGAAGAACTGAGCATTCGCTTTTCGTCCTCTCAATTTCGTAAACAGCATCCCAATCATAAGAAGGAAATGAGTAGGACTTTCCTGGGATGGGCTATATGCGCGGGACCATGAGAAAGGAAGAGTGAACTCTACCTATACTATCGATTGTACCAGTGGCATTTGGGGGCTTTCTACAACATTCATTTGATTTTACATTAACCAATGATTAGTTTGAGCGATAAATTTACACGGGAATTTATTAAATCATTGAAAAGTATTCAATAATAAACAAGGAAAGTCTAGAAAATAACATTTTCAATATGACTGGAAGAATATCAACCACACTAACCAACAAAATGATGAACTACAGTGCAAAGTCGTGCATGGAGGACAGCTGCATTCCAAGTAAGGACCGGAGTCAGACAAGGCTGTCTACTCTCTCCCTTCCTCTTTCTTCTGGTGGTCGACCGATTATGAATACCTGGTTATCTGAGGGAAAACGCGGCATACAATGGACAGCTCAGAACCAATTAGACGATTTGGACTTCGCAGATGACCTAGCCCTCCTATCGCATACACACGAACAAATGCAGATAAAGACAACCAGTGCAGCAGCAGTCTCTGCATCAGTAAACCTGAACATATATAAAGAGGAAACCAAGGTCCTCAAATAAAACACGGAGAACACTAACACAATTACACTTGATTGCGAAACTCTGGGAGATGTAGAATCTTTCACATACCTGGGAAGCATCATCGATGAACAAGGAGGATCAGATGCAGACGTCAAGGCGAGGATTGGCGAAGCAATGACAGCATTCCTTCAAATGAAGAACATATGGAACTCAAAACAACTCTCAACCAATATCAAAGTCAGAATCTTCAATACCAACGTCAAGACAGTTCTACTGTATGGAGCTGAAACTTCGAGAACTACAACAACCATCATCAAGAAGGTACAAGTATTCATAAATAGTTGTCTACGCAAGATACTCAACACCCATTGACCGGATACCGTCAGTAACAGCCTTCTGTGAGAGAGAACAAACCAGCTTTCCGCTGAACAGGAAATTAGGAAAAGATGATGGAAATGGATAGGACATACATTGAGGAAATCATCAAACTGCATCACGAAGCAAGCCCTAACTTGGAATCCTGAAAGGAAGCAAAAAAGAGGAAGGTCAAAGAACATACTATGTCGAGAAATAGAAGCAGATATGAAAAATATGAATAACACCTGGTAAGAAGTGAGAAGGATTTCCCAAGACAGAGTTAAATGGAGAATGCTGTTGAGCGGCTTATACTCCTCCACGAGGAGTAACAGGCGTAAGTAAGTAACCAACAAAATGCGGGCAAAGAAAATGGTGCCGTGAAATAATAGTTACTCACAAGTAATATATTCAGACAAATGATATATTTTGATTATATTGAATTGATATGATAATACGTACTTTTTATAATTCAATAATTACAGTAATTAAAACGACATTAGTAAACCAAAAATAACGAGTATATGATAAGATTCCACGAAGTAAATGATTGTTGATTATTGTAATAAATACACTTACAACTGCACCGCCTAAATTCAATAAGTCGACAAGATCTTGACGTGGTGGTTTTGTATCAATATCAACATAAATAATACCGACACTTGAAAATAATCTATTCATTGTTTGCATACGTGATAAACGAGGTAATCCAGGAGGCTAAATGGACAAATTTAAAAGAAAAGAAAATACATATCTACAGCTTGTTCGTTGAATGAAACTAATCTGTGAATGTCAACAAACAGTTGACTTTATCAATTTAGTTTACTATTATTACCTTGGGAGTATTTTCTATTCTACTTCATGTATCCCCCAGAGACTAACATCTAATATAATTAGTGAAGTTCAACTACGTCAGTTTTGTGACATATATCAATGACAATGGATTCGGGTCTTGCAATATCATGAATTGATTAAAATTACAAATGTAAATTATTGGATATTAACTCAATGGTTTAAAGGTTAAGTGCTCATCGCCAAGTCGGTAGGAATTTGTATCGATCCCTAGAGTTTGTTGGAGTACAAATCTGAAATTTTCCTCACTAGATGAAACAGGTTTCCTGTTTTTCAGTTGTCTAAAGTCAGTCCAACTCCACGGGCATGGCGTCTTAGTAAGAACAATAACTTAGTGACATAAGGACTTGACTTTCAATGGTTTAATAACAAACTTTTATCTATCTCCTAGACGGATAAAAGCAAATGACATTTGCGTAGATGTGAAGCTTTATCATTATCATTATCGTTATTATAGTTCTCTTTGTTCCATTGATCGTTAAACTGAAATTACTATTCTAGTAAAGAGCCTTACCTTGAGTTAAGTACAATGTAACTGCCATTTCAGTGAACAATCAAAACATATTCTGTTTCATTAACATAATAAAAATTAATAATATTTTTGGCTTGCTGTTAAGCCTTTCATATCCGACCCAGTTACCTTTATTGCTTAGTAATCTTAGAATGCCTTAATTTACTCGATCAACCCGCAAAATCAGAACACCAAATAAACAAGAAAACATTATGTTCCAAAGCAAAGGAGAGGGTGAACCAAGTCAATGTTGAAGCTACAGTTTAAAAAATGTCCGTATATTTCTAGTTTATACACCGGAAGGTTCTACATTCCTTTCAGCTTATTCTTTGGTGATGATTGGCTACAAAAAAGAGGGAACGTGAGTTTTCCACCGTGATCCCGCAGAGAAAATGCCTTAATCCAGTCAATGATTTGTTGACACATATAATCTACTTTTTCTCCAAAGAAGTGTTGTTTTACGGCTTAAGGCATTCATGTCAGCAAACAGATTTGCAGATTGCAACCTAGCTTAAACTATTCTGGTTTGATTAATGGGATAATAATCATCACCATTTATTAAAGGAGATTTGCATCTTGAAACCAAGTACATGGACTGATAATATTACATAACTAAGGACGATGAATAATTGGTTGCAACTGTCTGATCCATGGGTCTAAAAGTTTGCATTTTAAATAGATCAGTGTCACCAATCAAAGATTAATGCATAAATGTGTACTTGATTATTGAAATATATCAAATTTAAGTATTATTTATTTATTCGAACACATAGATTTTGGTACAACGGGGCACCACACAAATCTCATCTGATTTGTGTGAGGGCTGGGATACTGTCTAGGTGCCCAAACCGAAGCGGGTGGTTTACTTAGGAGGTCCCACTCGGAGCCTTTAACCTAATGGTCCGATCTACAAGGCAGTGGAGCAACATCAGGAGTTGCAGGCACATGGTAGCTGGTGACCAACGATTGGTTCATACGCCATTTGTTCCTTCAGGATACTAGAGCCTATGTGCGCCATTGGTTTCGAATCAGGGTTTCCAACTCTCTTAGGTGGACTCTCCGTGTCCACCGATCCGGTTAAAGCGCCGGACATTCGCTTTTCGTCCTCTCAATTTCGTAGACAACAACACCGCCACGAGAAGGCAGTGATTAGGAATTTTGTGGCAGTGGTTGTATACGCGTGGCCATGTAAGAGCATTTCGAGAGGGACAGCAGATTCTCCCCACTCTCGGCCGTACCAGGGCATTTGGGAGCTCAAATTAAAGTAATTTAGTTCTAAGATGAAAAAAGGAACTTACTTTAAATTCTACTTCAGATAACCACATATTTAAAGTTACTGATTGACGTATCCAGTCAGTAGTGACAATATGTGCACCACGAATTAAAGCATGAAATAATTTCAATGTTCTTCGACAAGGGGATTCTGTGACTAAATGTGTAAATTGTGATAAACCAAAAGAACGATTAGCTGTACCAAGTTTACATTTTGTTCTTGTTAAATGAGAATGTGAAAAGGAAGGTTTAATTATATCATAACCAATTAAATTGCTTGATTTCAGTAATGCAATTAAAACTTGTTCTTCTCTATAAAAATGTTAAAACAAAACAAAAAGAAACATCAAGAATCATGGGAGATTCATTCTAATATCAAAAACAAACTGAGTATTTTATTTTTAACCTAAAAATAACAATAAGATTGAAATAATTATCTCATGACCTAGTGAGAAGACAAAAAAACACATCTACTAATGATAATGGAGATTTTATTTATTTAAACACAAATATTGATACAAGGAGGCACCAAATACATATGCACCACACAATAACAATGAGACCAGAAGTAGTTATCAATGATTTGTGTGAGGATTGTGATACTGTCCGGTTTTTATTTTTATTTTATTTTAACACATAGGTATTGGTACAAGGAGGCACCAAATACATATGCGCCACACAAATCTCATGTGATATGTGTGAGGGCTGTGATACTGCCCGGTTGCCCAAACCGAAGTAGGTGGTTTTCTAAGGGGGCCACACCCCGAACCTTCGAACTGAATGTCTGACCCACAAGGCAGTGGAGCATCGTGAGGAGATGCAGTCCCGTGGTAGCCGGTGACCAAAGATTGGTTCATACGCCATTTGTTCCTTCAGGATACTGGAGTCCATGTGCACCATTGGTTTGCGATCCGGTTATAACGCCGGACATTCGCTTTTCGTCCTCTCATTTTCGTAAACAACACCCCCGCCACGTGAAGGCAGTGAGTAGGACTTCCCTGGCAGTGGTTGTATAAGCGTGGCCATGTGAGAGCATTTCGAGAGGGGGGAGCGGACTCTCCCCAATCTCGGCCATACCAGGGCATTTGGGGTTGCCCAAACCAAAACAGGTGGTTTTCTTAGGAGGCCACACCGAAAGCGTTTGAACCAGAAGTCTAATCCACAAAGCAGTGGAACGACGTTAGGAGATTGTTATATCTGGTCGTCGCCGATTGTTGTGTGGGAAAAAGGCTGATCACTTATACTCGGAACGAGGGACCTCTGCAATTCCCACGACGCAAAAGTAAGAACACAAAGACTGGTATAAGTGAAGCTTTATTAGCCCGAAAGCATTATGACGACGACGACCATGATAATGATAATGACCCTTCTAGTAGAAATACACTCAATTAAATATTGATAAAACACCCATTTTGATCAACAATTAAGATGAAATCACATATATGAAAAGTACTCAGAGTTATAACAAATCACATACTGAGCATAGTTCAGATCAATGGAATACAAGAATATCGTATATCATAAAAGAAAACAAATACTACATTGAGTAATCGATACATTGAATCAAAACGGAAGTAATCTTGAACAAAAATCATGAGTAAATCGATCGATTTTTGGCTTTTCTTTCCATCATATCAGAGATGCAGTCGCATGATAGGTGGTGACCAACAATAGGTTCATACTTCATTCGTTTCATCAGGATCCTGGAACCTATGTGCACCATTGGTTAGGAATCAAAGTTTTTCGACTCTCTTAGGTAGATCCTGTACATTGACCAACCGATAGAAGAGCTGAACATTCGCTTTTCGTCCACTCAATTTCGTAAACAACATTCTCATCACGAGAAGGCAGTGAGTAGGACTTCTCTGGTAGTGGCTGTATACGTATGGCCATGTGAGATCATTTGACGAGAGAGCTGAATCTCTCCACCCTCGACCGTACCAGGGTATTCAGGGGGGTTGGAAACGATGATAAATAAGTTATTGACACTACATCCATTATCTATACATTCCTTGTTTAGAATCAAAATCTTAATCTATATACATAAATATTATCTCAGTGAATGAATGTATTATGACCAAGTGAACTGATTCGAAAATACGAAATGATTAACAGTGATAACAAATGGACAGTAAAAAAATTTAATTTTTGCCATTTTCTACACTATGACCTTATGTTTCACCGAGCCGTCGAGAATCTGAGAAGCTAATGTGAACCTTATGACTACACAGAAATCATTCTTTAACAGAAACATAGATTCTTTTATATAGACTTTAAATCAACGTAAAATTATAATGGGACGTGTTAGGGAGTTCTAAAGTATTCCTCGTAAAAGACAAAAGGAACATGATAACCAATCAGCGTTGAATAGAAGCTTCTCAAAAACATCTAGAGAGTAAAGAGAGATGCGTATCACGACGTTTCTCATTGGATATTTACCTAGCCGCTACTATATTTAGTATGGTTTCAGAAACTTCCAGAAGCCCAGGGTCGTCCGTAATATTATAAATATTCTCGTTTTTCTGTACACAACCGAAATTTGAAGTAAAGCGTCACTTTAGAACTTCGCGCCTTTTCTCTTGTATTTAAGTTGCCATGTAAATTTAGTCTGAGGTTATTAGGGGTGGCTGCAAAATCAATTAGAAGACTTATCAGAAAGAAAATTGAGAGATTTATTATATAATGAGATTATTCATAGAATGTAGCAGGATTTAAAAAAATCTAAAGTAGAACATTTTTCTCATTTTATCAATCAACAGTCTTAAATGTTGCTTACTAATTTAACAGCTCCCTATCAAAATGTAAAAATAGGTAACTTAGAAAAACATTAAAAATATTTACAAAAACGAGAAGTTATTTTAAATTCACTTGGTATTGTTTACTTGAATCGTCCAATTGATGTTTAGGACTGCAATTAATCTGTCTCTTATTGGTATATGTCAAAACTGTGAGTATTGCCTCTATATTGCCTTAATTCATAAGCATTATAAGCAAAGATGGATAATGGCCAGCAGTGGAATCCAGGAGGCGTGTTTCGTCCTATTTGGGATTCGTCAGATAGATGTACCTTAATGTTAGAGTTGATGTCTATTTTGGGACTCGAAATCAGTACTATTTATTTATTTATTTTAACACATAGGTATTGGTACAAGGAGGCACCAAATACATATGCGTCACACAAATCTCAATTGATATGTGTGAGTGCTGTGATACTGCCCGGTTGCCCAAACCGAAGTAGGTGGTTTTCTAAGAGGGCCACACCTCGAGCCTTCGACCTGAACGTCTGACCCACAAGGCAGTGGAGCATCGTAAGGAGATGCAGTCCCATGGTAGCCGGTGACCAACGATTGGTTCATACGCCATTTGTTCCCTCAGGCAGGATACTGGAGCCCATGTGCACCATTGATTTGGGATCCGGTTAAAGCCGGTGCCGGAAATTCGCTTTTCGTCCTCTCATTTTCGTAAACAACACCTGTGTCACGAGAAGGCAGTGAGTAGGACTTCCCTGGCAGAGGCTATATACGCATGGCCATGTGAGAGCATTTCGAGAGAGAGAGCGGACTCTCCCCAATCTCGGCCATACCAGGGCATTTGGGGGCCGAACTCAGTACCGTTCGCTTCAAACACCATTGCGTTATCCACTTAGCTACTGAGTCCTGATAGTCACTTGCTTGTGCAATGGGGTGAAGTTTAAATTCATTTGGTATTAATTACTTGAATCGTCCCATTGATATTTAAAACTGCAATTGATCAATATCTTACTGGCATATGTGCGTACTGTGTGTATTGCCTTAACTTATTTTGTAACGGTAACGTGAAATCTTACAATTCGATGGCTAATCTTCTCCTTGCATCATAACCTTATACAAAGTGTTTTTTTACCACCATCGAAGTAACTGCTTCTATGAATTCGGTGTTCATTTCGTTATGCTAATGAGGTACAGAAACTTGGATTGATGCGTATATGTGCCTGGTCCTACTTTGTTGCTGACTGACTGACTGACTGAGTTTCATTGAAATAACATAAAATAAAGATGACAATTTCCATAAATACTAGTTATCGCTGACTAATATATTAGATTTGCCCTCGAACAATAACAAATCCTTCCTTTTAATCTAGTTAAACTGAAGTACATATCACAGATTATTTGAACAGATCTTATCTAAACAAGGGGGTAGAGGTTCATAGATTATATCCATCTATTAAACTAATAATTTCAAGTTCAAAAACGATATGTTATTCAAAAGAAGGATGAAGGTGTATACTCTCATGAAAATTATATCACTCAAATGTAAAGTACTTCTACAAGACCAGTAACACCCTATACCTGAATTCATTAATTTATAGTTGAAAATCCTATGTATTTCAGTAGCTCTGTAAGAGCGCTGATGGTGATGTACAAAACAGTTAAACATAAAAGAGGAATAATTAAACATAAGCAAGACTATAACACAACAGAAATATTTACTATGATAAATAGAAAGCAAGTATTTTGCGTAACTGTATGATTCAGACAAGTTTACATTTGAGCTTAAAACATATAATACTAATCTAAATAACATTGAAAAAAAAACTCACTCTGATTGAGTTCCACTAAATACTATGCTGATCCTTGTTGCACCTATTTCAGACACCAGTGGAGATCTTATCGACATATCTGGAGAGTAATATAAAATATTGTCTAATTTAAAATGCAATTGGTATAAAGTATGCAAATTTAAGATGAAAAATATCATCGCCTTAAAAATGACAAATATGCTAGAGTTCTGAATTCGAGTCTAAATAATGATAAAGAAATTATTTTTATTATCTGGTGAAATAATAATAATAATGTGAATTGTTTGACTGTTAATCGAAGCGTGAACAGAATTTGCCCCCAAATGCCCTGATATGGCCGAGAGCACTTCTGCTCTATGTTTGTGAAATCTGGCCTCTCCGAGTTGAGGATGTTAGACGACTCTCTGTGTTTGATCATCGCTGTCTCCCAAGGATTGCTGACATCCAGTGGCAACACCATGTCAGTAATGCAGAGGTTCGACATCGTGTGTTCGGGCACCGAGACGACGATCCAATTGGTGTCACCATCTTGAAACATCAACGTCGGTGGCTTGGACATGTTCTACGAATGTCGTCCCAGAGAATTCCACGTCGTGCATTATTTGCCGACTCTGTGACTGGTTGGAAAAAGCGGAGAGGTGGTCAGTATATGACATGGTGTCGTGGTATGAAAGAAAGCTGCAAAGGGCTAGCTTCTGTTGGTCCTTCACGACTTCCTGGTTGGGGTCCGAGAGATGGTGTAACACAGTGGCTAGAGACGTTATCAGATATGGCTCAGAAAAGAAGCCAATGGCGATCCTGCTGTAACCTTCTTTTACATTCTTCATAAAAAGTGGTTGTATCTTCTTTAACTGGAAGATTTCTTATGGTTGTACCTTTCCATTTCCCCATTATTATTATTATTATTATTATTATTACACTTCCTTACACTAATCTGGCCGTTATTGTTCCCCTTCTTCATTTTTACACTCCTTAACTTCTTCTTTTCTCTCTCCTCCCATTCTCATTGTTTTGTGTGGCGCATATATATTTGGTGCCCTCTTGTACCAATATTTATGTGTTCAAATAAACAAATAAATAAATCTGGTGAAAAAGCTAGTGCTGATCACCAGGAAATTTACTTTACATATGTGTTGTATTCACATAGTTTTGATTGTCTGAGTCAGTTAGTAACAACGTAGAACTTCGTACGTACGTACGTACATCAGTTCGAGTTGCCATGTTTTGATTCTCTAGTAATGTATTTCTTCAAATTCGTGTAGTTTAGTATTATTCAGCACTTACTTTATCCTAGTTTGGAACTTCACAGCAATTTCCATCTATGTCCCCACCAGAAATCAAAGTCAGGATCTTTATGCCACATGGGAAGCTCATGATTTGACTTCAGTAGTCATGGAGTTACCTACTAAGGACGTTATGTAACTTCCTAGTAATAGTGCAGACCGATTCGTTTTGGAAATATGGACAACAGGGTTCCAACTAAGTGGTCTAAAGGTAAGCGTAAGATAACTTAAAGTTCTGGTTCCAGTCTCTGGCGTGTGGAAACTTTTGAGGAAGCCCAAACTAGGACGATATAGCCTTCTATTGCTGCCTGGTCATCAACGGTTGTTTATCCAAGGTCAATGATGTAAAGCACATGGGCTCCAGTATCCTGCGGGAACAAATGGCGTATGAACCAATCGTTGGTCACCGGCTACCATGGGACTGCATCTCCTCACGATGCTCCACTGCCTTGTGGATCAGACGTTCAGGTCAAAGGCTCGGGATGTGGCCCCCTAAGAAAACCACCTGCTTCGGTTTGGGCACCCGGGCAGTATCACAGCCCTCACACAAATCAATTGAGATTTGTGTGGCGCATATGTATTTGGTGCCTCCCTGTACATCTATTATTTATTTAAACTTCTTGACAAAAATTGAGTAGTTCCGTGATCACTTTAGCAAAGTGGAAGTAAGTAGTCATACTACTCCGTCCTTTACATCAAAATAGATAGGGCGCGGTTCAAACCAACAATGTAATGTCCGAAAATCAAGTGTTTTACCACTACTCCATTAATTCATCAACAAAAAAGCAAATACGGGACAGGAAATTGTTGGTTTTAAAGGACTCCATATTTAGTGATTGAATCATTGATTCGGATCCTGTTTCAACTAATTTGGTTCAGGAGACTGAGTAGTAAAACTAACACTAAAAATAGAAGCGTGCTTCGGAGCTGAGTCCGTAAACATGCACTTGGTTATGTAGGTACAACGTCATTTGGGTCAATGGAGAATAATTAACTAAATTACATTACCTTTGCGTTTTACCTGTGGTGTAGACCGAAATTCTTCTAAACTACTACGTTTGTTGATAGTCTAAATAAAGAAACAGATAATTTAGTGAAGTGAAATCATAATGATGAATAATATTTGACTGAAAAGTCAGTTGACACAAAATGTGCATCATTAAGGAACAATAGTGATATTCCCTATTACACTGAAAGATAAATAAACCGAAGATTTGAATAGAATGAGGGCATCCTATGAGTAGAATGACCCATCGATATGTCCATCGGATTTGCTTGCATCAGACTTCCTGTGTTACCTTTATCTCAGGTGTTAATAAGTCATTTGTGAATAAAAATGACAGACAAGGTTGTGTACACTCTAGGGTCGACAGAATAACCCCATACATTGACGCAGACAAATGGCGAGAAATTGATTTAACGGTAGTTAAACTGAATAACAAAAATAAAAAGTAAGGACGCTCTCATAAATTTGATAGATTTAAGCCAGTTTTTCTTGAATTTGCCTTTCCAGGAATGGAACACTGTGTCTCACCTAAAAATTACTAACCTGGTTGCTTAAATGAAAACAAACTAGAACCGAGTTATTACTGTATGGGTTTGTGGAGACTTAAATTTTCGTAGTTTACATCACGAATTGACCTTATTTAAACAACCACCAGAGAACGAGAAGCTCCGAACAACCCTTTTGTCCTAATAGACGGGTCCTCGGTAGTGCGTATCTACAAACCCGCCGGGGACCAGACTTAAGACCTTCCAGCCTCACAGAGCATTACACATTGAAGACAATGAAAGACGGTCGCGCAAAATTGTGAATGGATTAAAATTATACATGTACACAACTAAATGGAGGCCAAATCATCCAAAAGTTAAGCGCTAGGTAAGAAATCCGAAGGTCCCGAATTCAACCTTCGTCAAGGTCGTGGATGGCGCTGTCGAGGCGTTCCATTAGGACGAAACAGCTGTATGATGCATCCTGATTTTGAATAGTTCTCTAAGATCAGTTTGTGATGCAAACCATATTAATTAGATAGTTGGTATATTTTTGTACTTCATTACTCTACTGAACTCCAAGTAGTTCGTCCAATAGACACGCCAACTGAGGTTATGGACATTTTAAGTAGCATAATTTACAGCATATCAATATTATCTTTCTTCAAAATACCGCTCATTAGTGGCATTGCACTTGTCCCATCTCTTTCCATTATTTAAAACATTCTTAGAAGCTTGAATGCTACTACTGATTCGTCTTACTCGGAACGGAACGAAGGATCAATGATTCAGAGACTCGATAGGCTATTCTGGTCCATTGTCCTCGACTCAGCTAACTCGATCAAGATGTCTTGGTAAGACGTAGAAAGTGTATTCTAAGGCAACCAGCAGATCCCCGAAATAGCATGTACAGACAGTGACGTATCCAGCTCACAAAAAGATTCCCTGTTAAATGTTCATGGAATTATCGCAGTAACCGCCCACGAAACAGAAAGCAAATCGAGCAGTATACTGAATGCAGCTGCACCAAATGAAGCTTGTCATTCTGAGATAGAAGTTCCTGACAAATCTAATTATCGAGATTCCCATGTTTTGCTAGGAAATATGCTATATGCACCAAACAATAATCAAGAACCTGGTGCAGTTTTGATGGACGCTTATTATCATAGAGATCCACTATCTACTAGTGATGTTCTCAATAAATTTGATCATAATATTCCCGAAGAATCAAACTTCGATGACCTCACGTCAAGCGTCGTTTACCCTCACCACTCAGTCATCTTCGGTTGATTCTCTGTTTACTACGACAAATATATTTTAAATAAAGTCAAATTAATTTTAACGTGGGTATGTGAGGATCCAACACTGTTTCGTGGGGGAGGATGAACTCAGAAAATTTAAAATCCGGATCATCAAGAAAGGGGAGGTGTGTTATGCCCCGATAAGAATAATGAGTGGTAATTTTTGGCATCCATTTGTGGACCAATACTATACGTACATTTTATCGCATAATTGTTAAATAACTAAACTATTCATATTCATGTCTCTCTTATCATAAGCTTTATTTTAATGTATGAACTGTTATTATACGATTTTCCATTCTTGAATTATTCCCTGTCTATTAATCACTACCTCCCACGTTCACAGCCACATTTGGCCAAATTTTTACAAATGTTATTTCCTATTTTATCGTACGTTGTGGTATGCTTGTTTGGTATATAAACCGAGTATGCTTGAAATACATGATTCATATTGCAGAGGCTGAGATTGGCGTTCTGGACTTAACTGGCTGGGCTAGGTGCAAAGCAGGACTAATCAGATCTCTAGGCTGCCCGCATGTGTTTTACGTGTCCTTGGTCAAATCGATAATTCACTGCCCTCTAATCGGCGGCCCAACTTATAACAAATCTACACCGATCCTGAAATAACTAAATCTCATTAGATCTGTCAAAAAGATATCAATACTACCAAATTAATGAAGTCTGACAGATACTTTTCGTCAAGGACTGACGTTGTCTGAAAAGCAATTGAAAATCAAGGAGTATCAGACAGTTGTTTCGTTTCAATTCTAGACTCGTTGGAATTCTGTATCCATGACTCTATACGAGATTGAACTCCTGAAACTCTAAACTCTCAGCGAACACGCTACGTATAAACCATTGAGTCAACGTTCAATGTTCTACATTTTTGACCTCAACAAATTCACAATATACTGTGATAATCAGTCGGTGTTATTAATGATACATGTCATAAATGCTTCAAAGCCCCAATCTAGAACGAAATAGCTACTTAGAGTTTCAAAAACTTCAAATAGTTTTACAACTAATGTCTATTCATGACAAAAATAGTTTTCAAATTAAACCAGTCCCCGCAAACCACATTACTGAAAAGCTAAATTTTTAACCCATGATACTGACAGTAGATTTCAATAAAATCAATGAAAGTCCATGCCATTATAACACATTGCTGATATATTAAAAAAGTGTAAAGTTTCTATAGAACTATAACCATGAAAAGTTTTACAACTAGTGATATGATGATACAACTTATTTACCAAGTACAGATTCATGTACTCGGCTTTGAGCCACACATTATGAATGAGAGCTATTAGAACCGAGGTGGGATAAAACTCAAACCTTAGACCTCGTGATCAAAAGTTGAACACCTAAACCATTATGCTACTATTCTAGTCATTAGTATAAGGATTTATATATGGTACACAATGATAACTCACTTTTATTTGACTCACAGACAGACGTTTCGGTGTTGTTGATAATGGTATAATTTCGTTATTATTTGACTTTCTTTTATAATGATTGTCTGGTAACAGTTCGTTGGTTACACTACATGATTTTTTATGAACAGAATTAGATACCATTAAAGTTTGCTTTGATTTATCTTGTTGCTTGTTAACTGATTCTGATTTATCTAAACAATGAACAATTGTTGTTGCGTCTAAATCTATATTGGATGGTAAACGATCAATTATAGGTCGTAATGTTTGCGTACATAATGTACTCATTGATCTTTTTCGCTGTTGAATTGAAATATCTTTTGAAGAATTAACATTCTGTTTACGACTAGATGATGCTAAGAGATTTTTAGTTTCTTGATTATTATTCATTTTCTTCTCTGTAATACTTTTATTTTTTAACTGATTATTGTGAGTAGACTGACTTGATTGTTTGTGAATTGGTGTTCTTTTACCGGTAGATAGTGTAGTCTTTAATTTAACCTTATTATTATGATCATCATCATCATTAGTAGTAGTAGTAGTAGTCGTAGTGGTATTACTGTTATGATTAACCTCCTTGAGAATTGACTTACTACGTAATTTAGGTGTAACTAACGGTGAATTTTTTAAATTCGAGAATAATTTTGTAGATTTTCTATGTGTTACTAAGTTTGATTTTTTTATTTGTTGTTGAACACTTTCCAATTTATTGTCTACAGATTCAGTACTATGTTTTTTTGTATTAGTCAATTTTGATGAATGTGTAGAACTGACAAAATCCAATAGAATATCTGGTGTAAGTGGAGTACCAATTGAAAGTCTTTTACTATTAATAGGTGATTTCCTTTTCAATTTTTTGGATTGATTATTCATTTCATTGAATAAATATGATGTATTTTTAATTTTTGGAACAATTAATTGTTCTATTGGTGAATTAATATTTGGATTGATAAGACGAAATTTAGATGATAATTTTTGTTCGGAATTAGTTATAACAGGATAATTTTCTATTAAAGAATTACTTATTATACTATCTTCAATGATATCTAAACTTTGAGATGGATTAACAATAGGTGATAAAGAATTACGAAATTCTAAAACGTTTGATTGATCTGTTATATTTTGAGTAGAAGTAATTGGAGAGTTAGTTAAAGCTAATGAGGAAACAAAAGTCACAAAAAAAACAGAAATAAGAAACTGATAAAATATAAAGTAAACGGTATCACTATATGAGGCTTCCAAAGGTGCAGATACGGTCGAGGGTGAGGAGAGTCAGCTTTCTCTCTGCAAATGCTCTTACATGGCCACATGCATACAACCACTGCCTTCTCGCAATGGATGAAAAGTGAATGTTCAGCGCTTTGACCAGGACTTGGATAGAGAGGATCCATCTAGGGGAGTTGGAAAACCCTGATTCCAAACCAATGGTACGCATGGGCTCTAGAATCCTGAAGGAACAAATGGCGTATGAACCAATTGTTGGTCACCGGCTACTATGAGACTGCATCTCCTGACGTTTCTCCATTGCCTTGTGAATTAGACCAATAGGTCAAAAGCTCTGGAGGTGAACTTCTAAGAAAACCACCTGTCTCGGTCTGGGCACCCGGGTGATATCACAGCCCTCATACATATCAAATGAGATCTGTGTGGCGTATGTGTATTTGGTGTCTCCTTGTACCAATATCTGTGTTAAAATAAATAAATAACCAACGTAGGGAACACACATGACAATAAAACAGAACGTTAACAAATACCTTTTGGTTTTTCGTCGGAATTTTGAAAGCCTTCTTCATCATTTGGCCTCTGTTTTTCATTTTCAATGTTTTCCTTTGAGTTCATCAGTACAGTTTCATCACAAATAGTGTCTTCCCCATTTAATTTTTGACCTTTCTGAATACGAAGTAGAAATTCCCTCATCCCAGGAGGTGTTTTCGGTCTAATAAATTTCTCACTCACACGAATCGGTTTAAAAACTGACAATCCATTGTTGCATTCCTTGTCTAGCAAAGATATTTAAACAATAACTACTGGTTACTTTTGATAGATAAGTTCTTCATCTACATGTTTTGTTGAATGGACTACGAATACAATTACTATGATTTTGAATAATGTACGTATTTTGTAGGCTAAACGCGTGTAAACCCCGTAAGAATAATTTTTGAACGATTTTCCGGAAATGATGGTAAATCAGTTTATGAGGTTGTGAATCTCTATCGACTGAGATGGTTGAGCCACGTGTTACATATGCCTAACCACTGATTACCACGGCGCGTAATGCTGACTAGTGTTGGAGACGGTCGGGAAGTTAGGGGTGGTCAAACCAGAAAGTGGCATCAGTCCATAGTCATTAACTTATGGTTTGAGCCATGTTGGTAGACAAAGAGTGCTTGGTTGGGGTCCGCATTACTATCTGTTAGGTCTCGATAAACAATGAATAGAAACTTTGGGATCCTTTTATGGACCAATACTATACGTATATTTTTATCGTATATTTGTCAAATAACTAAACTATTCATATTCCTCTTATTATAAGCTTTGTTTTGACCTACGAACCATTATTATACGATTTACCATTCTTCAATTATGCTCTGTCTATTTGTTACTGCCTCCCTCAGTCACAGCCACTTTGGCCAAATATTGTACAAATGGTATTTTCTATTTTATGGTACATTGTGGTCTGTTTGGTATATAAACTCAGGATGTTTGAAACAAATGATTGATATCACAGAGGCTTGGATCGGCGTTCTGGACTTAACTGGCTGGGCTAGGCGGAAAGCAGGACCAATCAGGACTCTAGGCTGCTCACACCAGACAAGTTATGGAAGCTTTCAGGAACACGGACAGTTTCTAGAATTTATTAATGCCCCTTAATTGAGAACATTTTATACTTGTATATTTCAGTACCATAAATACGTATAAAGCAAAGACCTTAAAGGCTAGGTTGGTGCACAACCAACAAATACAATAGTCAAAGCACTCGATAAAAGACTTCTCTAAGCAAGAGCAAAAAAGGGGGGTGAATGGCTACTTTTTCATGAACAACCAATAAAATGACAATATAAAAGCCTATTTATTTTACTTCAACACAGTACTTTTCAGGTGACAACCAGAGCGTAATCAACCACCCTGAAATGCCCTGGTACAGTCGAGAGTGGGAAGAGTCAGCTTTTCCTCTACAAATGCTCTCACGTGACCACGTGCATACAATCACTGCCACGAAAGTCCTACTCATCGCCTCGCAACACGGGTGTTGTCTACGAAATTGAGGGGACGAAAAGCAAATGTCCGGCGCTTTAACCGGATTGGTGGACACAGAGTCCACCTAGGGGAGTTGGTAAACCCTGATTCCAAACCAATGGTACACATGGGCTCCAGGATCTCGAAGGAATAAATGGTGTATGAACCAATCGTTAGTCACCAGCTACCATGTGACTGCAACTCCTGATGTTGCTCCATTGCCTTTTGGATCAGACCATTAGGTCGAAAGCCCCGAGTGTGGCCCCTTAAGTAAACCACCTGCTTCGGTTTGGGCACCCAGGCAGTAGCTCAGCCCTCACGCAAATAGAATGATTTATGTGGCTCACATTTATTTAGTGCCTCCTTGTACCGATGTTTATTTGTTTGAAGTAACAAAGATTGTCTTACGATTGTTTCAAAATTTATGTTCTTAGAGAACCTAGTGATTAAGATCATCAACATCGTACCTAATAAAAATAACCCCTGGAACAAAACGGTACAGGTGAACTTCTTGGTGTACTACTAGTAACAGAAAATCCAATTATTGAAAGGATTCAGATATTCAGTAATGACAGGTTTACTTAAGCTTAACAAATCTTTTCAACTCAGTTCCCGTAACCAGGGATAAAAGAATGCAGCACATTAAAAGTTCTATCACCTACAGTCATTATTACCTTATCAGAAATCGCCTTAAAACCAGATTTTTCGTTAGATGAAAGGCAAATCAAGGTCGTATATATACTTTACTTCCACCGAGCTTATCATGGAAATAATCTACACTTGAATAACCTTCACCACATCCCTAATCGATATTTTTATCTATCTCTTAGCTACATAGATACTGATATTTTTCAGTTATTAGCTTCCCTTCAGACCTGTTGTAAGACCGATCTTACTAACATTTATAACTCATTTCGACTGTTACACAATGTTTGCAGTTGTAAGACGGTGGAATGTGGATCAGGTTATTATTCGTTTTGTAGAAACGTAAATGCAATTATGAAAGTGAAGTCTTACTTGATGAGAACAACACACTTTCACGAGAAAAAACAATTAGAAGACTTAATAAACCAAAAAACGGGAAACAATCGCGAACAAAAAGTGAATTTTATGGAAAAGTCTCGGTAAAGGGATAATCCTAGCGTTACCCGAAAAAAAAACTAAGTAAAAGGTGGACAATACCTGAAATGGCCACACCAGTTCTATCAACGGCCTTTATATCACCATTATCTTCGCTATCTGGTTTTGTGGATAATCCAGAGAGATCATTTTTGTCCTCTTTTTCACAGTAGGCCGCCTCAGGAGCTTTAACCTACCACACCAATGTAGTAACTATTAAACTAATGGCTTACCTTCATCATTCTAGAAGCCTTTACCCATGCTGGAGATACTACTGGTATATTTCTCTTTAAAGCCCAACTTCTGACCACTTCTGAGCCATTTCGAAAAATAACATGTGTAACCAAGTGACTTAAAGAATGACACACTCTGGCTCCTAAAGATTCAAGACTGGCACTAAGAGCGATTGCCGGGTTTCCAAATGATGACTTGACATCGACGTACGCTACCACTCCTATTCATAAACGCAAAAATATTTCATACCTTTGAGCACATTCTCCATCGGTGACCTTGAGGGCCGAATTTGGCTGATTATGCAACGCAACTGAATTGTAAACATTCAAAATACTTTGATCTGTCAATTTCCTTTGATACGTGATCTGGAATTTTGACTTTCCAAAAAGCAGTTTCCATTGAAACTAAAAATTACGGGAAGTTCGACATACAATATTTTTCTAATGATACGGTACTAACTATCAGCTGCAGCGTAGGAAGGACAGGAGGTTAAGTGGTTTATATTAGTCTTACCGAAGGAAAACTCTGATCCATGATCTCTTCCTTTTACTGAGAATCATGGAGAAAATAATCCTCAAATAGCTTTCACTATTTTTGTCCCCGGAAAGACGTATTACCCTGTAACTGTAAACAAACCCCCAAATAAACGGTTCGAAAGTCCTTGACATTGATACGCGGCTCATTAGTCTTGCTCGACACAACCCTATCTGAGGACGCTCAGTCAGGCGAATGCATCGGCTCACGTCAAAGTACGCCGTGCTACGCATCTCACACAACAACTTGTCACATTAGATCTGAAACTTCTGAACACTGACCATATTCCAATCTCATATTTATACTCCATATTTACTGACTTCTCATTTGACTGGGTTCGATATATTCGACCATAAAAGCATTACACAACAGCGCTGTCAAACAGTGAATATATATATGATGCCCTTACTTGCTTACTTATGCCTGTTACCAATCATGGAGGAGCACATGCCGCTCACCAATATTCTCCACCCAACTCTGTGCTAGACATACCTTTCCAGTTGGTTCCAATTGCTATTCATCTTTTTACATGTCTCCTCCCAAATTACGACTCAGTGTGTTGTTTGATCTTCCTCTCTTCCGTCTTCCTCCAGGATTCCAACTAATGCCTTGCCTTGCGATGCAGATTGGTGATTTCCTCATTGTGTTTCCTATCAACTTCCAACGTTAATTCTCAAATTTCCTCTTCAGATGAAGACCGATTTGTTCACTTTTGCAGTAGGTTGTTGCTGACTGCATCCAACCAACAAACATTCAGTATCCGATATAGACAATTGTTTATAAATGCTCGTACCTTTTGGTAATGGTTGTGGTAGTTCTAGAATTTTCAGCTCCATACAATAGAACTGTCTTGACAGTCGTATTGAAGACTCAGAGTTTGATATTAGTTGGCAGTTGTTCTGAGTTCCATATGTTTTTTAACTGTAGGAATGCTGTCCGTGCTTTGCCAATCCTTGCATCATTAGGACAAACATCTGATAGAATAACATCAGAGTTCTGATCAGAATTTGGTACACTCGATATATCTTGACAGATTTATGGATAATCTCATTGCAAATATATAAATCTTGAGAACAACGCATATCTGAAAAACTAATACCATGAATTTGAACATTCATTCAACGTAATGTGATCAGAATTTCAATGGTTAGTATTAGCTTCAAAGAAATGTACAGTAATATTAGAAAATGACGGTATGTGTCCAATTTTACCACATTTAAAGCATTTAGCATTACGAAGTAAACATGGATTACACGAGTAAAGTTTGTACGTGATAAAGATTTACCAAACATGTGCTTAACTTCGTAAACTGCTTCGTGACTACTCAATGAATTGTTGTCAACTTAACCTTGACTACGCATCGGACTGGGATGATGTAGTGCTGTAGTAGAATTCTCGATGTCCTGAAGAATCACATTACGAAATTTTCCTCCTTTACCGCACTCAAAATTTGTACACTACATGGTCTAGTGATAGTTCCTTGAGAGTTGGGCTTTTCTCAACATGACGAAGATTTTATTAAACTGTGGACATCCTTTTCTAAGAATGTAAGGAAATGATCCACAATATTATTACTTACAACATCTTCCTTGGTCACACTCCAGATTTAGAACCTTTTCCTATAATCCTAAATATCCTCAAAATTTGAATGTAAGTCCAATTGTTCCATCGCTATGCCGATGTAATGATTAGAAGCATTTGAATTATTACGCGCGCTAAAAGTTCCCGAAGAAACGCAATTTGAGGCATAAAGAATCAAGTGAGCACAAACGAACGTATTGTATTTGGAATTTGAAATCGAGCAGCCATTAGGTATAAGGTAATCATTAGTTCATATAAACACCACAGTCACGTCAGTTAAGATTTGCCTAGTGAAATTATTGAGTTCAGCACCAATGTCGAAGACGCACATAACAACTCGTTTCGAGGACTAATTCGACACAACAGTTTTGTTATTCAAAATCATATATTACTGATACATTGAATGATTCCCAGCATAAACCATTCAGCACTGAATCGAATCTCCGCATTGTTTCCTTTGTATATGTGTTCCCTTACCGCCTTTCATTTACTCCACAGGATGTTTAACTGGTCTGTACCAACGTAGTTGATTTTCGTTCCTATACAGGTCAGATGAGAGGAGGTTATGGCAACCGTAAAGGTTCAAATGAACTTTACAGTAATAGGTTTCGCAAAATTCGAAACATCATACATGGTAGAATTCACTTTGTAAAGACCTGTGTGAAGATCTGTGTACACCCTTCTGAACTCGTTCAGGATTTATGGGAGAAAGTATGTTGTGTACCCAATAGTTGACGAAGGCTACTGATGAAAAGAAGTTTACTTAATATACACGTATATCCATCGCCATTTACATATGGTTTTCACACATTAGTCAAGTGAGACGAATTAAACGTCGTTATTATCCGGTCACTACAGTTTAACAACATGGAGGTGCATTGCCTCTACAAACGCTCTGCAGAATAAACGGTTTATGTCGTAATGTTATGGATGACATCTCTTCTTTCACAGTTTTGTCAGTTATTTAGTCCTGTATTGCTTGACAAGTGTAAAAGATTAAATAAAAGTGAGGAGATTATTGAGTTTCACACACATCAGCATATGTGTGCGTTTGATTTGTGTAAATCTGTTGGCTAGATTCTATGTAAAACGGAAACTTGTCGAACGCAATCACCTCAGTCTAGTTAGTTGAGCTGATTGATAGATTTGATACGCAAAGTTATGGAAATGCAGCTCACATGAAACTTCTTAAAGATAAGAATGAACGATTTCACAAAGTTGAGTCTGTAAGCTGTGTCTTTTGTAACTAGATAGACTTGGATTGTTGCTCGCATCGTAGATCTATTCTTGGTGTAAACGGTGAATTGTCATTGTCAAACTAACAAGTAATAAATGGGCAGTTAGAATTTAGGTCAGGGAGAATAATGACATTTTATTGGAGGAAACCTTTTTTGTGTCGGAGTAATCTAAGCCATGCAATTGCAATTGTAGTTCCTTTACATATAGTGGTCTTAACAACATTGACGAGATTTTGCAGTGCAAATAAAGAAATGATAAAAATAGTGAGAATCAGTAGGTCGGGAGCCGTTTGAGAGAAAAATGAAGTATGTAGTGCAATTGTTTGGTTGATGACTAAGAAGATTATTGGAGAATAAAGGAAAGTGTATTGGCAACACATTAAATCAAAAAGTGGTTAATGTAATGTTCTTACACTCGTGTTAATTATTCTATGACAAGTCCGCCATTTAGAACATCGACATATTTAACTTTGGAGCTGTACAAAAATAATGATGTGCTAACCAGTACTAGCAGCCCAGAGTCAACTCTGAGTCCTTATCAATCCGTCTTGTCTAACCCTGCCCATTTGAGTCCAGAACACAATCTCAGCTTCCATCGTATGAATCATGTATTTCAGATATATGCGTTTTATATACAAGCAAATCAGACCGCATCATATCAGAAAACAGAAGACAGCAATTATACAGGGTAAAACCAAAAGCGTTTGTGGGTGTGAGAGACTAACTGATAGACTGAGAGTAACGTGAGAATAGTAAATCACATAATATTAGTCTATAAGTCAAATGAAGGTTCGTAATAAGAGAAATATAAATATAGGTAATCTAGTTACCTACGGGCTATACAGTTGGAATACATGTATAAAACTGGTCTATAAATAGTTCCTAACAATTGTCATTCATCTCTTCTTCGTTCAGACACAACAGCTGGGACTACAGAAAGTTGAAGGGTTTGTACAAATAGACTGTTGATAATTAATTAGGCATGCCAGTTATCTAGTGCCATCTCTCAATAATTCTTGCCAATTGATCTTTCACCATCTTCTCTGCAGAATTCATTTTGAATTCAATTTTCATGAATCAGGACACGTCAACTGGAAGACAATCCATCAATAAAAAGTTGGATAACAAGTGGATCATCATATTATCTCATAAGAACTCGGGCTACAGATCTAAGAATTACAGTCACCACACGTCACTTCACTACACTTTTGCAACATCGCAACATAAGTGTGAACTTTTCGCCTTCCTTGGTCGAAAGTGTGTGCGACTAGACCCGAAAAATGTTATTTTTTACAAAAGACACTTACTCTCTAGAGGAAAAAATCGCCTACCTAAGGTAGACTGGAAAAATCTGAGAACTGAAACGTCAAAAAATTCCTTCCAACAGGAACTAGTTAATATGGTCATTACATGTATCCTAGTGAAACATGTGAACGAAGCAACTAGGTACGACCCAAACTTAGAATCATCCTTACTAGATCACATATTGACTTATTATAAGGTTGACGTCACGAACCTTTATTATATAGCACTCCCAGGTAAAAGTGATGATTCAGTCCAAGTCTTTGATTTCTATATCGTTGTTGATAACGATGAAATATCGGCCCAAGCCAGACCTAGCGTCCGGAAAATCAATATACAAGGTGTTATACGCACAGAATCCCCAGTAGATTGAACAGTTGAACCAGAGTCCCTCGTTGAAACGGACATGGTTTCAGAAAAGGCCTCATATATTTGAAAAATATGCTCACTGCGAGAGATGATTGGGCTGCAGCGAACGTAAAGCTTTCGACAAGATCTCTCCCTTGGGTCTTAAACTAAAGCAGGAACGTTTGGAGATCCGTTACGAGATTACAGGCCTGAAAATTGACTTTTTCAGTGATAGGAGACAACCGGTTCGGGCAAATGGGTCTCTGTCAATGTGGGGATCTGTAGGAAGTGGAGTTC